GTGCCTGACCTTTCCATGCCACAGATGAAAACAAAATCACGTCCGTACTGTGCATTTGTAATAATAACCAAAACTATCACCCCCGCAATACATCATATACCATACACAAATATAACCAATTTCATGCAAGTGTTATTTCCGCATTCCACTTTGTTGATGTGCACTGACCCAAATTTAAAGAACTAACAAAATATACTGTAAACAAGGACACAATTCCAGCTGATGAAGACTACCAGCGAAAATAAACTTCATACAAAACTGAAAAAATGTCTTCTCAGAAAAAATTAATTCCTGGTTAAAATAAAGGATTTTACAATAATTGATGTTAAAATTATAATAACTGTGTTTTTTTCAATGTAGGTCAGACAAAGAGGGTGTGAAGGAATACTATACATTAGATTCAATTCTGTTTCTACTTAAAAATGTTCAGCTAAGTCATCCCATCTATGTGCGCAGAGCAGCGGTAAGTTGGATGTTTAAATATAAAACTTGAAACCTGTTTCAATTGATCTATTTCTTGTCTTGAAATGTTGAAAAGGTTTGCATGGTATTTGATCGCATCTCTAATTGAGACGAGTGGGTCGGGTGGGGGATCTGTTATGTTGGACTTTTTGTGTATACCAGACTTTCGCGTGTTAATTAGTTGAAAGTATGCACTTTTGATAGTGCGCATACAGTGTAGATACTGAAATACTGCATCGAAGATTTCTTGACTTGATAAAATGCAGCTAACTTGTAAAGATGGAGAAGTATAACTTATTGAACCTTACCTCATTTCTATAGAAACAATGACTTTGCAATTTTTCCATAGAGTTACCGGAAAATCATTTTTCAGCGGCCATTTTGAATTGACAATTGGTCAAAATACATACACTTTTTACAACTCTGGTTTTAGAATAATTTTACCACTTATATACCTATATTTTTGTAAATAATTCTTTCACCTACTTCATATGTTTGGTTATCTATGCAGGCTGAAAATATTCCAGTAGTTAGAAGACCTGACAGAAAAGCTTTATTGGATTATCTCAATGGAGAAACAAGTAAGTAAATCCAAGATTAATAAAATCCAAGAAAAGTGATTAGTTTCTACCCTTTAAGTGTGTTGTTAGTTTAAAGTGGGAGAGTCGTCACCTGCGCACACGAGGGAATTGAGTCCCGAGCGGTGATAACAACATGCGCTAAATAACGCAAAGGCTCATGGGTAGACGCTTGTTTGTAAACAATGACACGCTATAGCCATCTGATGCATGCGCAGGTGACAACACCTCGCTTTAAAGGGTGTGCATCACACTTTTTGGGAGAGAAGGGTGACTTATTGGAAAAATGAAAAAAAAAAGATTTTCAGGACCATTAGAAAGAATAGAAATAGTATATCATCATACAGTCTATAATTTTTTTTTGCCAAATAAAGTTTTGTAATAGTATATTTCTGTTATTTGATCATTATGGCCAGTGGTGTATTGACACATTGGTCCTTGTCTTGACTTATGTGTGGAACTTTCGTTTTCATAGCTTATTCCCACAATGCACATAGATGAAACTATCAAACAACGCATTGAACATGATATTGACTGGTATGGTCACATGATAGTTGCATTGAGCAACATTGCGATGCACAGAATTTAGTGTACTATACAGTGTTCTCCCCAGAAATTTTTCATAGTGGCTAATTTGCATAATAATTAGCATATAATTAGCATAAATTAACATATTGTTGTCATATGGGGAAATAAAACAAAACCAGTTTTTTTCCTTTCTATTTATTTTATGTACAATCTGTATACAATTATTGCACTGCATGTTTAGTATTGCAAATGTCCTGCAGAAATACTGAGTTCTCTGTTCCTTTGCTTGGCCCAGCAATCAGCAACTTTATAAAACCCTGTTCAGTCCCGGTAAATTAAACATGGGGTTGATTATTCTCATTGCTTGTCTTCCGTTTCTGTTGTTTTCCGGTTAAGTACAACTGTTACGATACTTACGCTACTATGTTCGAGCAATAATAGTTTTTCTGGCTGAAATTATCCATCTTTATGTATTTTTTTTAATCATCGATGTTGTCTGATCAACACAATTGTGAGAGACAACGGAGGTCTGAAATTACGAATTGTCGCCATTGTTATACCACGTAAAATTGAGGCTTTTCTTCCAAGAAATAACACAAGTGTCACTCCAATTTCCACACGTTTCTTGATTAGAATTCCTGATTTCTTGATAAATAAATTATTTTCAATTATGCTTCACTTAATTCATCCGAATCTGAGCACGATATGAGATCCAAGTGGGAAGTTCACGCTC